AACCGACTGAGCCACCCAGGTGCCCCTTTATGAATACAATTCTTGAGTCACCTAAAAATCCTAACGGGGTACAAATCAGATTTTATATATTTACTAGTATCCATATATTTTTTAAGTTTATTTATCTTGGGGGGGAGGGGCAAAGAGAGAGGGAGAGGAAGAATCCCAAGCAGACTCTGTGTGGTCAGCCCAACTGGGGGCTTGATCTCAGGAACTGAGATCATGACCTGAGCCCAAACCAAGAGTTGGACACTTAACTGAGCCACCCAGGCACACCCAGTGTCCATATTTTTACTATAGAAGTCATAAATGTAGAATTTCAATTTCTCTGAAGACTTGGGATAAACAAAAGTATTTATACTTTAATGCTCACCCAGTTGAAACTTCCTAACACCAATTAGGGATGTTATAAAGTATAATCAGAGTATATAAAAATAAATACAATTAAAATTTTTAAATAACTGGGAAATCTGTCAGATATTATAGTTTTAAATCATATCCAAAATTTCAAGTGAAAATTTTTTCCATATGTTTATGTTACTTTCAAATTATCTGAATCTTGCTAGAACTGGTTCATAAAAGACACCAATATATATAATTATAACAAAATGTAATTGCAATACATTGTAATATAAATCCTGTTTTACATCACAATTACATAAATCTTCAGCTATTTAATTTCAAAAAATTTTTTAATGTTTATTTTTGAGAGAGAGCAGGGGAAGCCCAGTGAGAGAGAGAGAGAGAGAGAGAGAGAGAGAGAATCCCAAGTAGGCTCTGTGTTGTCAGCACAGAGCCTGATGTGGGGCTCGATCTCATGTTGAAATCCTGACCTGAGCAGAAACCAAGAGTCGGTTGCTTAACTGACTGAGCCAACCAGGCACCCCTTCAGCCATTTAATTTTAAAGAAGAAATCATACGCTTCCCTGAAACCCAGCATATCATGTCCTGAATTCCCCAACTACGCATTCTTCATTTATCACTGAAAGACAAAATTATATTCTTTAAATTTATGTTAAGTGATAAAGTCTCCGATTTTGTTGTATATATGGATTTCTTCCCCCTCCTTTTGAGATGTGAATCTCATGAATTAACAATTGGTGTTTCGGGGTGCCTGGGTGGCTCACTTGATTGAACATCTCTTTATCAGCTCAGATCATGATCCCAGGGTTGTGGGATCAAGCTCCAGGTTGGGCTCTGCCCTGAATGTGGAGCCTGCTTAAGATTCTTTCTCCTCCCTCTGCCCCTCTCCTGCTCACGTGTGCACTCTCTCTCTCTCTCTCTCTCTCTCTCTCTCTCTGTCAAAAAAAAAAAAAAAAATCAGTGTTTCTACAAAGTTCTGAATATGGAGTAAACATAAACGTAAAAAGAAATCATCTTGAAAATACAGATTCTGATTCAGAAATTGGGGGCTGGGGCTCAATATCTTATATTTCTAACGTTCGCAGGTGGGGCTCATGAGACTGGCCCAGGCACCACACTTCGAGTAACAAAGGACCCGATATAGAGAGGAATTACAAGAGACATAGTAACCAGGAACTGAGAAAGATTCCTTGCAGCATGAAGGAAATGAATCACAGTATGGATGTTTTCCTCCTGGAGGGACCAAGAGACCCTGCCTGGCTAGTTCTGGTCATGGACAGAGCACTGTAGGGGTGGGGATGCCGTTAAACAGTTAAGCTCTGTTGTCCTTTAAGAAAAAAAAAATACTAGTTCTATGTTGCATAAAGTGCCCCATTAAAAATGACCCAGCAGCGGGAATGTATGATGTCAGCACTGGAGGCAGAAAGCCTAGAGGTCAGGCAGATGAGCGAGCCCAGACTGCAAGGCTGTTCCCTCCACACCGCTGCGCCCAGCGTTCATAATAAAGTGACAGGAGGAGAGTTACAGTGGAGTCCTTGCACGTGAAATGAATTTATGGACCTGTCTGGCTGAGCAAAAATTAATGGATTGAATTTAGCAAAAGGTTTTGTCTATCTCCTCCCCTTACGGCAGCCAGGGTTTTTATCATTTCCTGTCGGCCAGGGGGGAGCATGGGAATGAATGAAGGTGCAAACCAGTGATGAACGTGAAAATCAAATGCATACAAGGAAGCAAGGTCACTGGCTGCTTCTGGAAAGTTTCAAAGTCACTCTTCCTATGTAACAATATATCATCTGTAGACATCCGTGACCTATCAGGGGGATGAAAGGTAACTGCTCAAATATTAATATCTAAAATACAGAAATACACTTGATTTTTATCATAAGCTGATAATTTGCTCATCTTCAATATATTTCATCAAAAGCAGCACCAGTGTTCCTATTAATCTTCACGGAACATGGACAGGATGAAAAGAACTAATGTGACATTGGGAACGCGCTTGGTGTATCGCACCAGGTCAGAGGCTGCACACTGTGTTCACAGCCACCGCGCACAGCGTCATTATCTCCGTGTTTCAGAGGAGAGAACAGAGACTTTCAGCAACTCACCAAGTTTATACAGCTGGCAAACTGTAGAGCTGAAATTTGCAATCAGTGTGAAATTTGCAAACTGTAGAGCTGAAATTTGCAACCGCCCAGGTCGGGGACAGGGGAGGACAGGTGCACACACATGCTGCATTGCTACCCTCGCCGTCCCCCCCACCCCCGCGGTGTGCTCATACCACATGACCCACAGAAGTCCACACCACTCCACGGTGCCAGCACACCAGTAACCTCACCCCCGTTAGCTGAGGTCCTCCTGAGGTTGGGAAAGTTGATTGACAGAGCCCTGCTGACCTGACAATCCTCAGGTATTACACTTTGCTAAGAGGTCACCTTTAGGTAAATAACAAAAAAAGTACACTGTCTCTGGAAGGTTGCAGTTAACATGTCCTTAGCTCCATAATCATGTTCCTTAGGCTACATGGGGGCATTTTCTACAGCTATTCCGGCTGAAGGGGCAGATTTGGAAAACCACCCCCAACTACTAGAAACCTGCGGGTGTGCACGTGGAAGGGGCAAGTGGGGGGGGGGTGCAAGGATATCCCAAGCCTGTGTGATGCCCAGCGTTTACTTTGTAAACATCCTTCTCCAGTCAGTAAAAATATTTTCAGTTAGAGGTGGCTGGGTGGCTCAGTAAATTAAGCCACTGACTTCTGCTCAGGTCATAATCTCACAGTTGGCGAGTTCAAGTCCCCCATTGGGCTCTCTGCTGATGTGAGGTTTTGCTGCAGAATGTAGCAATGTAGTTTTGCTGATTGTTTCCTTCCTTGTGCAGAAGCTTTTTATTTTGATAAGGTCCCAGTAGTTCATTTTTGCTTCTGTTTCCCTTGCCTCCGGAGACATGTTGAGTAAGAAGTTGCTGTGGCCAAGATCAAAGAGCTTTTTGCCTGCTTTCTCCTGGAGGATTTTGATGGCATCCGGTCTTACATGGAGGTCTTTCATCCATTTTGAGTTCATTTTTGTGTACGGTGTAAGAAAGCGGTCCAGGTTCATTCTTCTGCATGTCGCTGTCCAGTTTTCCCAGCACCACTTGCTGAAGAGACTGTCTTTATTCCATTGGATATTCTTTCCTGCTTTGTCAAAGATTAGTTGGCCATACGTTTGTGGGTCCATTTCTGGGTTGTCTATTCTGTTCCGTTGATCTGAGTGTTTGTTCTTGTGCCAGCCAAGTTAAATTTAAATTAGGGAAGTTGAGATTTTTAAAGTGGATGTTCCCTGAGTTCACACACAAGAACACCCTTGACCATAGCAAGCTCTATCTCCCCTTTGCTGTTCCTTCTTCCTTCGCTGTGCCTGATGCAAGTGCATGGACAGTGTTGGCTTCCCACCCCCCCCCAACCCCCGGGGCAGGGTTGGGGGGGGGTGGGTACAGTCAGACTCTCCGGTGTCTGGCACGCACTTCTCAAACAGGTGGCTGGGCGATGTGGTCTCCTGGGTCACGTGCCCATCTCTGCGGTTCCTGGGTGCTCAGCTTGCCTTACTCTAGTTTGCATACTCAGGGCTTGGGCAGCGCGCGCTAGCTGTTCCTAAGATTTCCCGAACTGAACACCGAAGGAAAATTAAAGTCATTTAAAATTAATTAGAAAAGCAAGGCTTGCCAGTGGACTGGACTTTTCAAAGAAGTTGATTTGCTTACCAAACAAAGTCAGACATCGGGCAGAATTCGAACGAACTGCCTTTTCAACTAAATTTGCTCCCTGGGTCCCCGCGCATTAAGAGTAGGACTCCTGGGTCACACACCCACGTGGGTGGGGTGGAGGCGGCCCACCCCCTTTCCCAGGGGCGCTCCTGAGGGAAGGCGCTGCCCTGCCTCCGGCCTCGGCTTTTTCATCGCGCAGTGCCAGTGTTTCGAGCCACTGCAGCAGTAGAGCGCAAGCCACCTCTTTGTTTGGGTAGTGCTGACAACACACCAAGGGAGCAGAGATCGTCCGCCACAGCAATGTGGAGGGGCCTCTGGTGGCCCACGCCGTCCACCTGACCCTGACCCCGCCCTTCACTCAGCCCCGCTCCGCCCTCCCGGCTCAGACCCCGCCTTTCACTCAGCCCCGCCCCGCCCCTCCCGACCCCGCCCCTCACCGGTTACCGCCACAGACTCCGCCCTTCGCTCACCACCGCCCCGCCCACCCCGCCCGACCCTCCTCCCCTTGCGCGGCCCCGCCCCTCAGGAGGTACCGCTCTGCCCACACCGCCTCGACCCCGCCCCTCACGCCGTACCGCGGCGTACACACAGCCCAGACCCCGCCCCTCACGCGGTACTGCCCTAGACTCCGCCCCCCAGTCGGCACGGCCCACACCGCCCAGACGCTGCTGGGCTCCTCACATTGTACTCCCAGCCCACACCGCCCTAGTCCCCATCCACCTCCGTAGGCCCCACCCCTCCCGGAACGCCCACGTCCGACTTTCTGACGCCAGAAAGTTGATCCGGAAAAGCCCAGGCGCTAGGCCCCTAGGCCCCGCCCCTCGTCTGCGGCTCTGCGGGGACGCGCGTCATCTCCCCGCGCCGCCGCCGGAAGCTGGGTGTGTGTGACGACAGCGCCAGGCGCGGAGCTAACAAGTTCGGCGATGGCTGGCAGTGAGTGATGACCCGGTTACTGTCCGTTGCGCGCAGAGTCGTTTTGGCCGCCGTGCGCTGCAGCGCCCGCGGCTGCAGCGGTCTCGGCATGTTCTATGCCGTGAAGAGGGGCCGCAAGGCCGGGGTCTTCCTGACCTGGTGAGTGGGCGGCCCCGAGTCGCGCCCCCGGCAACCGCGCGGCTGGGAGTCGGGCTGTCACCCGGAGCTCGCGGCCCTCGGCCTGGGGTGTAGCGCGCGGGGGCCCGCCGCCGGTCGCGCGGTGGGAGCCCCGGGCCCGTCTCGGCCGGCGTCGGCTCGCAGGTCCCGGCCGGAGGCTCCAACTTACGTTCCATGTCTGTTGGCATTGTCAGAGATGCCACGTATAGTGTAAGGTGACCAGGGCTCTCCGCTTATTCCTTCCTTTTTGTTTCAGTGAAACAATTTCCAAGTGGTTACACGTAGCGGAACTCTGAAGGTACCTAATCGAATCTTCCCCTTTAAAAAGAGCAGTTCTTATAAACTGATATTTAGGTCCCTGTCACAACCCTTTAGGTGGGTGAGTTTATTATTTTCAGGTGTCGTTCCCGTGGTCAGGAAACTCATGGGGCTAGTAAGTGATGCGGTAGGACTTGCATGCAGGTGTTCGGATTTCAGGCCAGGACTCGCCCCGCCGTAGGATACCAAGGTTTATTATCCGTGTGTGTGCGTGCCCGCAGTTGTTTACCTGTGCAGCGGTGCTACTGAGGTAGAAGCAGCTCAGAGGCTCACCTTTTTGCTGTAATGAAATGTTAACAGGGTTTTCTTTTTCGAACACCCCAAAATTCTAATGTGTTTTGAGATTGAGGAAACCGTTCCTGACTGGTGTGCCGTCTGGCTGGGACGCAGCACTACAGGGTGAGGTGTTGGACGGGAAAGAAAACTACACACGGTTTGCCCCCACGGAGCTGGCAGACTTTTGTCACGCTATTCCTAACCTCAGAATCCGTTAGAAAGAGGATGAGTAAGGGAGGAAGGAGGTAACATTGCACTCTGTTCCAGGAGCGAATGTAGAGCCCAGGTGGACCGGTTTCCTGCTGCCAGATTTAAGAAGTTTGCCACCGAGGAGGAGGCCTGGGCCTTTGTCCGAAAGCCTGCAAGCCCGGATGGACCAGAAGGTAGTCAGCCGCTCTCTCATCGTGGTGGCGATTTATCAAAGCCTTGCACGGCCCAGCGTCACTTGATCTGTGGAGCTGCCTTCATGACGGAGCAGATAGGATCGTTTGTTTCCATTTTACAGACAAGGAGACAGGCGGAAAGCGGTTTACCTTAGGGAGTTCTGTTAGTACCTGAGTTAGAAACAGGCCAGGACACCAGTCTCCTGCTCCATTCAGTGTCCTCACTGTACTTAATTTTCTCTTTAAAAAAATACTTGTTCTGTTCTTGAATTGAATGGGCTACAGTTTTAAAGTGGTGAGCGTAGGTTGTCTCAGTGCATGCACCTGTATGGTGTGTCCTTTTTGTGTAGGACAGACACATGATCGGAATTTCCCCCAGTTTCACATAGTGCAGAAAGTACAGTTAGTTAATTGAAGCGTAATTCCCAGTATAAGGAACACCAGGTGTGCAGGACTAAGGGTGACTGCCTTGGAGCACAAAATTTTAAAAATATAGCTAACCGTTGAACAACACGTGTTTGAACCACGTGGGTCAGCTTATGTGTGGACTTGGTTGTGTTTATTACATAGGTTTATTTGTTACATTTTCCTTAATAACATTTTCTCTTGTGTAGCTTATTCTAAGAATACGATATATAAGACATATACAAAATATGTGTGAATTGATTATTTACATTACCAGTAAGACTTCGGCTAACAGTAGGCTATCAATAGTAGTTAAGTGTTTGGGGAGTCAATGGTTATACTCAGATTCTTGACTGCGCAGGTTGTTAAACCCCCCCAGGTTGTTCACGGGTAAACTGTATACCTTAACCGACTTTGAAAAAGTGGTGTTTCATTAGCTTTACTCAACAGACTTTTTTTTTTTTAAGTTTATTTATTTATTTATTTTTGAGAGGTGGGGGGGAGAGAGAGAGAGAGATGGAGAGAGGGAGAATCCCAAGTGGGCTCCACACTGTCAGCGCAGAGGCTGACGCAGGGCTTGAACTCATGAACTGTGAGATCATGACCTGAGCTGAAACCAGGAGTCGGACGCTGAACCCACTGAGCCACCAGGCGCCCCTAGTGTTAGGTGTTGTGATCATTGTTATAATCCCACTGGCAGCCCAGACGCAGACTGTGTCCTATTCCACATTCAGAAGTATGGCTCTTGTCTTAGTTGTGTTTTTTTTTTTTTAATTTTTTTTTTATGTTTATTTATTTTTGAGACAGAGAGAGAGCATGAACAGGGGAGGGTCAGAGAGAGAGGGAGACACAGAATCTGAAAGAGGCTCCAGGCTCTGAGCTGTCAGCACAGAGCCCGACACGGGGCTTGAACTCATGGACCGCGAGATCATGACCTGGGCTGAAGTCGGATGCTCAACCGACTGAGCCACCCAGGCGCCCCATGTCTTAGTTGTGTTCTTAACACCTCCTTTTCACTGCTTTTTTGTTTTAACCAATTAGCAATTTATTCAGACTTCAGTTTTCCAATATGTTTCTGTTCATTAAATACTCTAAGTCCTAGGGAAAGGTTATTTCTTTATATCTAGAAGTCACCTTTCTTAGAAGTTTACAGAGACTTCCTAGTTAGTGACTGATGTATGTAAATTGAGATTTAACATTTTTGGTGTTCGCAAAGCAAAAGCGTTAGCCTCTTTCCCAATTTTTCCCTTAGTGTGACCTATATTTTTATTTTGGGATTTTTGAGCTATTTGCCAGTTACTGCGATTTCTGTAAGATGATTTGGGGTTAACTTACTCAAAAAAACACAGTTTTGTGAAGGAAAAAATTATCTGACGTGGCCTCTTTTTCCTTCAGTCTTCTCCTTTAAAAACTTTCATGCCAGGGGCACCTGGGTGCCTCAGTCAGCAGAGTGTCTGGCTCTTTACTTCGGCTCAGGTCATGATCTCATGGTTTGTGTGTTCAAGCCCCACATCAGGCTCCGTGCTGATAATGGGGAACCTGCTTGGGATTCTCTCTCTCTCCCTCTCTCCCCCCCTCCCCCTCCCTCTTTTCCTCCCTCTCCTCCTCTCTCTCCCCCTCTTGTGCTCTCTTTCTCTCTCAAAATAAATAAACCTTAAAAAAAAAAACCTTAAAAAGTAAAAACTTTCAATTTAACCCTCTTTTCCTATAAATAAAATCGATATTTAGAGCAGTATTAAAATTCTGCAAGATTACCCTTTGACCTGTACTTGTGTTTTGGGGTTTACGTGTATAAAGTACCTAGAGGTATATTTTCAAGGTAAATACATGGTTACACAAATGTAGCAGAGTGGAAATACCAAACGTTACTCTATATGGTGACTTCACTCAGATTTTGCCTCGGTAACCTTAGCGGTCTTCTGACACGTGTGGGTGGAGAAGCTAGTCCAGACAGGACATCCTGGCTTGGATGTGAACAGGGTTTTCTTTTTCGAACACCCCAAAATTCTAATGTGTTTTGAGATTGAGGAAACTGTTCCTGACTGGGGGACCTATGTGGTAGGTGTTCAGTCAACATTTGCGCTCCATTTCTCCATCCCCGGTTTAGGGGTTTAGAGCTTCAAGTGACCTCTGTAGTGTTGGGCTCAGTTGTTGTTTTGGAGATAGAATGAGCTGCTCCTTCTGTGCCCCTATTCCCGCTCCGTCAAATGATAATGTAGGAGAAGCTGCTCCCACATAACGCGAGAGAGTACGAGAATCCCTTCGGGGTTAATCCCGACTTCACCTTCCCCTGAAAGAAAATTCTGCAGCTACTGCCCTGGAGGCATTCAGTCCCCTCTGCTGGCTCTTTCTGTTCCCTTTCTCAGTGTGTCCCGTTACCTGTTTATGTGAGGTCGGGTTACCCATGCCCGCTGACCTTTCTTGGAGGCCTTGACAGAGTCAGAGTGTCTGGGGTAGGGGGTAAGGTGTGGAACCGTGGACGCCACTGATCTTACATACAAAAGTTAAGTCCTTGTTTTCTTTGTCTGGGGAGAGAGCCCCTCAGACTTTGACACTGCCTGCCATCCCCGTAGGATGCAGAACCTTTGGTATCTACTGTCTCTGTCAAAACCAGATTGCTATTACACTAGAAATGTTGCTCCTGCCTTCAAATCGCCCTTACCAAACTTTTCGTGGAAAATTCAGAGTCATTTCACAGGCCATCAAAATCTGAGATGGTGTGGACTGCCTGAAGTCAGTTCCTCTTTATAGGGCTGCGTACAGAGGGTATTTAGGTCTGATTCGGTGATAATACAGAACTTACTGAATTTCTGGATTCTTAAGCATTTCATGTGTGTTCCCTTTTTCCTGGTTTTTGAGTAGACTCTATCTTTCAGGAGAGAAAAATGAACATGTACAAGAATCACAAGTGAAAACAAACAAGCGAGTCCGTGAGCCATTGGACGCAGATGAAAATGCAGAACCGTGTGCGAAGCACGTGAAACAGAACACAGAATCTGTGCCTTCAGTTAGCAAAGACACTTTTTCTTACATGGGTATATTTTTCTTGGATTTTTAAATATTCTATGTAATAATCATGAAAATAGGTGTAAAAACTATTCCCACTTAATGGGGGCAATTTGAGCTAATGTTTACCATCTTTATTCTTTAAGAAAAGGGTTTTTTTTAATGTTTATTCTTGAAAGAGAGGGAGACAGAGAGAGAGAGAGACAGAACATGAGTGGGGGAGGGGCAGAGCGAGAGAGGGACATAGAATCTGAAGCAGGCTCCAGGCTCTGAGCTGTCAGCACAGAGCCTGACGCGGGGCTTGAACTCAAAGACTGTGAGATCACGACCTGAGCCGAAGTCGGACGCCCAACCACCTGAGCCACCCAGGCGCCACCACCTTCATTCTTATCTGAAAAGATTATCTAAAAATCTCAGGTTACTCTTTTAGAGTTGATCAAACTGCAGAATTACTAAGACTTTGGACTTTCATTAGAAAAGCGTTATGTGGCCTACAAATGAAAACATTATAATCTTTTGAAATATCAGTATTCTCTGTGCACACAGGCTTTCAGGTCACACGAGAAAGTGCAAAGGCTTCAGCTTCTTCACATAAGAAAGGGCCTGCACAGAGCTCTCTTTCAGCACCAGTATCTTCACCGTGGACGTTTAGCCTTTGCAAAACATAAATGATCTCACCTTGTCCTCTACCTCGAACTCCAGGGACCAGTTTATATTTAGTGACTTATGGTATACAAAGCACCTTTTTGTTTTTTAGACGTATGAACAGAAAATAGGAATAAGTAGCATTTTTATATAAATCGCTGTATTTGTGGTTCCAAGTTTTCTCCAAGAATAAGCCATCTCATAATTTAATTCAAGGAAAACCAGTAGAAAATGTTTTGTTAACCTGTATCACAAATGTATAAATCGGAGCGGCTGGCTGGCTCAGTCGGTAGAACATGCGATTCTTGACCTAGGGTTGTGAGTTCAAGCATCACGTTGGGTATGGAGCCTACCTTGAAAAAAACAAAACCGTGTAAATCAAGTTTGCAGTTAGGTAAAAAGACCAAACGTTCTTGATTGGGTTGTTTGCCAGCAGTAGTCAGAGTGTGTATCTGTGGAGTGATTGAGGGATGGCCATTTCTAAGGTACTAACGGTGGCTTAAGGTACGGTGGCACCTGGCGCGGTGCCTGATGGGTACTCTCATTTGAAACAGTTCGGTCACCAGGAAGGTAGTCATGTTGAGAGTGCCAAATTCAGTTGAGCCAGGGATCCTCGCCTGATACCCACGCTCCCCCCACACTCCCAGCCCCGGGGATCCTCGCCCGGCACCCACATTCCCCCACACTCCTGGCCCTGCTCTGGTCGGGAGCGTGCTGTTCTGTCACTTAACACCTTCCCTCTTCTTCCCTCCCTCTCTGCCTTGTCTGGCCTGCAGTCCTTTTGACAAACAGCTCATAGAGCCAGGCCTCTGTTTGCTCCCATGGCCCTGCTTTTTAAGACCTGCCAACTCAACCCCTCCTACCGCCCTGCTGAGCGTGTTCTGGTCACATCTGGGGCCCTAGAGTGGCCTCATGTCAGTCCTTTTCTGCCGTCTTCCTTACAGCACTGGTATGTTGATCAGACCCTCTGTCCTGATGGAAAGAATAAAGACCATAGTTTCCTTGAGGCAAATGTACTAAGAAAAAAAATTAGACCAACGTTTATCAGAGGACGAGACCTTCTAGCGGCCAGGTCAGGAACTGATCATGTTTTCCTGGACAGAAAGTACTGACCGCATCGAACAATACCCTCGCACTTTAGCCTGTGGACGCTAGCTCAGTGAGTTTGTGAAATAGATCCTCAGTTTTAGTGCTCTTGATCCAGTGGCACTCACTGAATTCCCTCTTCCAGGAGACTTTGTCGTTGTCTACACTGACGGCTGCTGCTCCAGTAACGGGCGCAGGAGGGCACGTGCGGGAATTGGTGTTTACTGGGGACCGGGCCATCCTTTGTGAGTAAACAAAAAAGCCTTCAAATCTGAGTGAATCTTGGCCCAACACTTGTGAGGGAACGACCCGGGGCATGACCACCTGGCACGCGGCTTTGGCGGAGGTGACGGAACGACAAGCTTCGGCTGGTGCTGACACTGACAGCTTTGTTGCTCAGGACAGAGGCCTCAGCCTTCCTTTCTTGGCTCTGAGTCCTGACGCGTCTCTGTGTCTCGCTGACAACCTCTTATACCCAAATGACCTCCCTGCCCCCGCTAGGCGAGTCACAGGTCTCCTGCGGGGTGGTTTTGGCAAGGATGTCCCAGGGGCAGGTCGCCAGACTTGGAACCCTGCGCGTCCCCATGACTCTTCCGAAGACCTGGGGGCTCAGAGGTGACCTCCCGTTTTCCACAAGGCGCAGAGTTGGGATGATGCCAGGTGTGGTCATTCACAGGTACCCGCAGCAGTGTTAGGCATAATGTAAGGTAAACTGTTCGGTGATCATAAGGCTTGACATTTCTCTTGATCTGTGGTCTACTGAGTTCTTTCCCCTTAGTATCCCACTTTAGCTTTGAACCCTGTAAGAGGTGGCGAACTTGGGTTGCACTGAGTGTCTGGGCTTAGTGTTCGTCTGAGACCATGCACTAATGTATTTTAGGGCCAGAAATAAAACTTTGCTTTTGACTTCTGGCCCAGGATTCTTTACTAGACCATCCCATGATGCTTTTCCATAAAATGTTAGTACTGTCGGCTAACATTCCTTTGTTTGATGCTTTGATATGTCAAAAAAATATATACAAGCCTATCCTCCATTGAGAGGTTTATGGAATCACTTTGAGAATTAACTTCATCTTCCTTTGTATCGTTTTGAAACCAGGAACTTAGGCATTAGGCTTCCCGGGCGGCAGACGAACCAAAGAGCAGAAATTCATGTAAGTTGTCAGACACATTTCCCACCAAGTGTTAAGTCCATCGTGGCAGTGAGCTGCATGCATGCTGTGTGTGTAAGATACTCAGAGTCCAGAAGAAACTCAGTTTGTGGTTAGTAACAACTGCAATGGATAGGGATTTCCCAGAAAAATCCTAGAAGTGCTTTCACAAAAACGTGCAAAAAGCTGTATGTGTAGCATTGTTTCATAGAAAGAGTATACCCCTTATACTTAGCACAGAAAGAGAAAGACTGTTAAAGTGGCAGAGTGATTTTGAGCATTAGTGAAGTTGAGCGTTGTACAGTTTCTGTAGTGTTGCTGACTGACTGGTTTCTTCAAGGCAGCCTGCAAAGCCATCGAGCAGGCGAAGGCTCAGAACATCAAGAAGCTGGTTCTGTATACGGACAGTATGTTTACTATAAATGGTAAGCTTTTACCTTTCGTTGCTTCTGGTGTTGTCCTAGTAAGCACAAAGGGAAATGGTATTCCCTTCTCCAGTAGGAGGGATTGCATCGGGGCAGAACGCAAACGGCAGGTGGGGACCACGTTTGGTTTGTCAGAGACCAAGAAAAAGGTGAGGTTCTGGAGCCCAGTTCTGCTGCTCCGCTGTGTGCCCCACAGTCAAGGTGTGTGTCAGGCACTGAGCACGGGGCACTGGGGTCGGTGTGCCCCTGCTTTCGTGGTCCTTAGAGTGTAAACAGCGTAAGTACCTTTCAGGGGGCCGTGCTGACAGCTCCTTCGGGAAATTCCGTGTTCAGGACGCGGGGTGGGTGGCTGGGGAGGTGGAGAAGGCGGCCTCTTAGGCTGGGAGCTGTGGGTCAGCACAAGTCTGAGCGCAGGCCTGAGCAGGGGAGCGTGCCAGGCCTGTGCCCCGGGCCAGAGGACAGCGCGTGCGGGCAAGTGGCAGTTGCACACGCTGGGCGTCTTGCATCCACACGACTCCTGAAACAGAATGCTAAGGGCACCAGTGACAGTCACAACAAAGTTTATTGCAATGAGAGGCAAGGCCGACCGATCGGGACCAACACTCTTGATCAGCGTGTGGCCTCGAACAGCCGGGGTACAGAGTTTTTATAGCCGATCACATCGTTTTATCATCACCTGGGAACAGAACAGAGAAACAGTTCCCAGATGAGTTAGAAACACCCCAGATGAGGTGATTATTTTAGACTTTCTGCCGTTAAGTCGCAACCAGTGGATCCTCCTGACCCTGCCTCTGATGCTCTTTTCTTTGAACTTTTGTTTCCTTAATTGGTGAAGCCTAATTTACAAGAGTATGAAACGTAATTTACAAGAGTAAAGCAAGGCTGTTATCTCTTAACCTTCAGTGTGAGAACAAAGCTGTTATTTCTCAAGCTACATGTTAGCCCTACACTAGTTTAACCATTACAGGCGGAAGAGTGGGCGGGTGAAGGAGGGAAGTCTGGGGGAGGAGCAGAGACCGGGACATTCGAGCTCGCGGAGCTTACTTGACGAGAGCGTGTACTTCTTACAGGGATCACTAACTGGGTTCAAGGTTGGAAGAAGAACGGGTGGAAAACGAGCACGGGGAAAGACGTGATCAACAAGGAGGACTTTGTGGCGCTGGAGCAGCTGACCCACGGCATGGACATCCAGTGGGTGAGTGTGCTCCGAGCCGGTGCTATCACCTGGCCGTCGGGACCAAATGTTCTAAGTTAACTGAGAGATCAGTGGTTTCTGTAAGTGATTTAAGGACTTGAGAGGTAAAATAACTGTTTGCACGAAATTAACACCATAGCGCTATTCGAAATTGGAACACATTTGACTCTCGATCATCACAGAAGTAACACTGTTCATTATTGGTATGATCGTGTGTAGACCACACTCTTCAGGCAGCGTTATAGACGGATGTTCCGTATTCTTTCTCTTGTCTTCGCGGTGCTTACTAGTGCCTGGTCTGGGCTCCCTCTCCTCCCCTCCCACTGTTAAAGTGACTTGTGACAGTCACTGTTGGTTTCTTGGGAATCAGCCATAATGTCAAGATAAAACTAATTTATGAGGAATTTTTAAAAAGTAAAGAGTGATAAGACTTTAGTAACATGACTTCTTTTCCAACATGGAAATGTTTTTTTTTTTTAATTTTTTTTTTTTTAATATTTACTTACTGTCAAGAGACAGAGAGACACAGAGCATGAGCAGGGACGGGGCAGATAGAGGGGGAGACACAGAATCTGAAGCAGGCTCCAGGCTCTGAGCTGTCAGCACAGAGCCTGGCGCGGGGCTCAAACTCACAAGCTGCGATTTCATGACCTGAGCTGAAGTCAGACGCTTAACCGACTGAGCCACCCAGGCGCCCCTGGAAATGTTTTTCTTATAATAAATAGTTTTTAGGGGCACCTGGGTGGCTCAGTTGGTTGGTTGAGCGTCCGACTTCAGCTCAGGTCGCCATCTCACAGCGTGTGAGTTCCAGCCCCGTGAGCCCCGCGTCGGGCTCTGTGCTGACAGCTCAGAGCCCAGAGCCTGCTTCATATTCTGGGTCTCTCTCCCTCTCTGCCCCTCTCCCGCTCATGCTGTCTCTCTCTGCCTCTCAAAAATAAAAAATAAAAATAAAAATAAAAAAATAAACATTATAATAAATAGTTTTTATTAAAACTATCTGTTCAAGCAATACAGAGCACGTTGAACGACAAGCATTGTCTGAACCCTACCCTGTCGTCCCTCCCCAGGACTACTGGGAGCAGTTTGGTGAACTGGGGTTTAAATTTGCCTTTCAGCCATTTAGATATGAACAGTGGTTATATACGTACATCCCTTCTTTCGGACAGCATTTAAAGACAATAAAGTACGTGCATTGGATACATATTTGTGTGTCTGTACATACATGTGTTTTGCCGGGAAAGCCCTCCCAGTTCCATCACTCAGTGGGGAAAGAAAGCAATACAAACAGGAAAATCAAGTTTGTGGAGAATGAGAGTGGGATTGTTGCGAGTGCCTGCATTGCACAGGCGCCCTGGGCAGGCAGGCTGTGCTGTCGAACTGTGTCAGGGTGGGGGGGTGAGTCCTGTCCCACTCTGGCCACTGGGAACAGTTGCGTTTTTTACAGTAAGGGTGTACTCGTGTATTGCTTATTATGTAAAAAACCAGTGAAGATAAAAGAAACAAAATTTATTTAACAGATGCATGTTCCTGGTCATTCGGGATTTATAGGCAATGAAGAAGCTGACAGATTAGCAAGAGAAGGAGCTAAGCAATCTGAAGACTGAACGAAGTGATTTTAATTCTTGGAAAACCTTCCGTGAGTGACTCTTTTCTTACCTTTCCTTACTGGTGTGAAAAATAAATCAGAAAGTACATCAGGAGGTCATTCTGTGATTCCCTGTGGTTACATGTATAATATATTGAACAGATTTGAGATTTGAGCATTATTTGAGATTTCAGCATTATGCTTTATTGGGTTGGACACTGTTCTCATTAGTTTTATGACCATCTGGACAGAAATTTTAGGACTTGATTTAATAAGGCATGAATACAGCAGTGGTTTTAAAATGCAGACAGGAAGTCTGGAAGTATTCTAAAAGTGTTTATTTACCTTACAGTTGGCAGGATTCAGTCTCAGAATATTCTGGTTGACTTGTACCTCTCTGTGGAGTAGAGCAAGTCAGGGCTGGGCCCACACCTTGGTGCAGAGAGAGCGGACTGGGTCTTACCTGCCCGGGCACCTGTGCGCAAGGCAGGCCTGCACATCCGTAGTCCTGGCTGCTTGACCACTGATGAGAGCAGTTACTTACACAGCAAAATGCATAAATAAACCTTTTAAAATTTCTTTGGCTGTTTTTTGTTTTGTTTTAATTTTTTTTAACGTTTGTTTATTTTTGAGAGACAGACTGTGAGCTGGGGAAGGGGCAGAGAGAGGGAGACACAGAATCCGAAGGAGGCTCCAGGCTCTGAGCTGTCAGCACAGAGCCCGACGCGGGGCTCGAACCCACAAGCCGTGAGATCATGACCTGAGCCAAAGTTGGATGCTTCACCGACTGAGCCACCCAGGCGCCCCACTTTGGCTGTTTTTCTTAAAAGCACTGTGCAAGTTAAAGTTTGATATAATTGTTTACTTTTACCTTTATTTGTTTACTACTTTATCATAAAAACATACAGAAAATGACACAAATGTATAGCTTCTTGAATTATTACTGTAAGGTTAATTCCCAGGTGAGAACTAGAACTTGGCTGGACACCCCAGAAAGGCTCTCCACGTTCTCCAATCACAGCCCCTCCCTCCCTCCAAAATTAATCCTGACTTTTATAGAAATGACTTGCTTGTGTTTCTTTATGGTAATTCGGCCTTGTGTACTTTTTTTTTTAACTTGAGATTTCTTAAGTTTCTTTAATTTACAGGTTCCCCTGCCATTTATTGGGATCCTCACAAGGTTTACCCGTTGAGGAACCTGGGCCACTTGTCCTGTCGTTTCCCACGGTCTAGATTTCTCCATATACACTCTACCGGCACAGTCTGGCATTTTCTCTTGTCTTCTGAATTTCCTGCAAGTCGGCAGCAGGACCCAGAGGCTTGATCAGGATCGGGTTCCACATGTTCAGCAAACGGTAGATGGTCGCGTGCGGTCACTTGCAGCTGCAGGCTGCGGTCGTCTTCTTGATGTTGGCAGCTGCCGGTGCTCAGTGTCCGGATCCACTCGTCGTTTGGGCTCCAAAGTGGTGACAGTCTGGGATGTTGCCCATAGTTATCGGCTGGAGTGGTTTCAGAAGATGCTTCCTGTCGCCTATCTGGTTATGCCGTGGTGGCGTTCATTTAGGGAAGTCAGCAGACATGCAAAGATGATTGGTCTGTCGTCTTTAGAGGGCGACCGATCAAGGTTTTTTATTTATATATTTTCATAACGTGTGTCGTGAGCTTGTGCACTTATGCCTGCTTGATAGGTTTCAGGTCATTGCGGTTTTTATCTTTATTGAACCCACATGGTAGCTTCTTTGGCCTGTGGGAGGGAGGTTCTTCCGGTTGGCTCTTGATTTCTTTGGATATTCGTGTGTACACACATATGCACTGACCACACCCGTTTACACGTATAGACCACAGGCACACTCGTGCACAGTCCACGTGCCCTGGCATGCTCACACACAGACCACGCATGTATGTGCCCCCAGTCATCTGCTCCAATGCTGTCTGCTGTGTGGGGACTCAAGACCCATCTGTACATTTCCTCCTCCAGATCTGGAATTGGCTGTTCCTCTAAGAATTTCCCCTCCCCTCCCCTCCCCTCCCCTCCCCTCTCTTTCTTTCCCTCCCTTCCTCTTTCTCTCTCTCTCTCTCTCTCTCTCTCTCTCTCTCTCTTCCTCCCTTCCTCCCTCCCTCCCTTTCTTTCTCTCCTTCTTTCCCTCCCTTCCTCTCTTTCTTTTTTCTCTTTCTCTCTCTCCCTCCCTCCCTTCCTTTCTTTCAAGGTAAGGAATGTCCATACCCAATATGGGGCTTGAACTCATGACCCCAAGATCACGAGTTGCCTGCTTTGCTGACTGAGACAGCTGGTTGCCCCTGGCAAAAAAGGTATTTCAGGTGCTCTTTGCTGTGGGGTTGGTCTTTGCCTCTAGGTCTTTTCAGGGAACAGAATTCTAAAACATGCACATACACATATTTTAAAGATAAAATATTTGAGTTCATGTTGATATTCTCAATAGAAACGCAGGATTTCAGAGTACTTAACTCTTCTATATTATGTCTGTGTCTCCTTCTACACTGAGGATCCTGGGATAGATATTCCTTAATTACCAGCTTGCTTTTTTCCACTTGAACATGCAGTGTGTGGATACGAACACTAACGTGTATTATAGTGAAAACAGTGCCGGGTGTACGTTGCCGGCCATTACTTGATAAGATCTCCCCCTCTTGCCCTCCTCTGGTTTTCCTCCTGTGCATCTCATGGCCACACGACCAGTGTTCGGTCAGTGTCCTCTTGGAAACCAAATTCCCTGAGCTCCCCACGTTGAACTTTGTTTGCTTTATGCTTGAAAGCGGCAGGATAGAAACCCTTGGCTCACATTTTCTTTCCTCGAGTGTCTAAACTACCGATTTTGTTTTCTTCCAGCATGAAAAGTCTAACGAGTCTTATGTTCCTTCTTATAAGTCATGTGCTCTTTGCCTAGATGTCCAAGGCGTGAGTTTCTTGTTCTTGTCTCTCCAGTCCTTACTGTGTCAGACTGTGTCCCGCGTCGGTTGCCCGCGGTCAGAATTTGCAGGAATAGGGTGAGCTCTTGGCGCGTCTATGTCCAAATCTGCTACTTCAGGAAGCTTGCCTTGAATTGTGGCTTAGAGTTCTGTTTTTCTTGGTTTTCTTTGGGGGTGGGGGACCTTGTTCTGTGTATGGGAACATCTGGTTTAGCCATCCATGGTCTTTTCCTCTTTTTCTTGAGTCTCATTTATGTTTTAAGTTTCCTTTGTTTTTTTAAAAGTTGTCCTCCTGGTGACGTCCTGTCTCTGAAGGCATTACTTACTGTCTTCATTTGCTCTCGATTCTCATTTCTGAAAGTGCTTGTCTTTCTAGTTTTCTTGAGCTCTGTCACCTTATTTCTGGTGTTTTCTAGCACTAACTTGCCACCCTCCCATCTTGGATCTCGCCGTTTGAGGCTTTGAAGCCGCACATTTGGACCTGTGTGGTGTCTGTCTGCAGTGCTCTCGCTGTCAGCAGGCTTTTATTTTCCTTTTCTTTTTTCTGAGAATAGCTCTGCGTGGGATCGGCCCTTTCCTGTCGCTCGTTTTAGTTCAGGTCGTTTTTCTCACTCCACAGAGCTCTCTGCCCTGTTGAATCTTGAATGATGCTAACATGTGGCGGCGGCTCCCAGCGCTCTCCCGGCTCTGGCCCTGCCCTCCTTGCACTGGGTCCCTCTCCTTCCTGTCTGTTGTCCCTGTGCCGTGCTGCTGGCTGTGTCCCCACAACACGGGTCCCTGCCGGCTCGGCTGCGGCGGATCTCGGGCTCCACGGCTCCAGCCCTCCGACCTTCTTGAAGCGGGTCCCTTGCACCCGTCACCACCGGGGGAGGACAGCCGCCCTGCTTCAGCCACCGGCCTCAGGCCGGCCCACCATGCTTTGCAGCGGACACCCGCCGTTTCCTTTGGGGTTGTCCTTTCAGGGGCCCGTCAGGACCCAGTGGCCTCGCTGTGCTTTTCCCCGTGGGTGTGCAGGCTGTGCTGGGCGTGCCGTGCCCTTCACTGCCGCACGTTGGCTTTGTGGAGTCCGCACACCGCTGTGCTTTTTAGCGGCCTTGTGGCGGTGTGATCGACAGGCAGCAAATGGTGTGAAGGTAAAGTGGGCTGTGGACTCAGCTGGGAACCTCTCGCCAGGACTCCCTGTCATCCCCCCCCCCCCCGCCCCTCTGAGATCCTTCCCTCTTTGACCCCATCCCCCGGAGACCTTCCGTTTGCTTTCCGTCGCTGTAGACTAATTTGTGTTCTTTGGGATTTTGTATAAATAGAGTCATGCAACATAAACTGTCTGTGGCAGGAGTTTCTTTTCGTCGGTGTGATTATTTTGGGGGGGCCCCCCCCCCCGACGTGGGTATCAGTAGTTGGCTTCCCTTCACTGCTAGGTGGTGCCCCTTGTAGGCATGTCCCAGTCTGTGCGCCCGTCCTCCCGTTCGAGGCTGTCCCCTCCGTTTGGGCTGTTGTGGAGAGAGCTGCCTGAGCACCGACAGGCCAGTCCTTCTGCGAGCACGTCCTCTGATTTCTCTAAGTGGAACAGCTGGGCCACAGGGCAGTGGGTGCTCGACTTCAAGGAACGCCAGCTGACCCCTCTGGCCATTCGACTTTCCCACCAGCAGGGCAGGAGAGTTCCGGTTCGCTCCGCGTCCCCGCCGGCGCTTCTGGTCACCTCGTTCTGTTAGGTCCGCGGTTCCGTTTCGGGTGAAGGCTCGGGAAGATCCCACAGCGCCCTCGCTGCCGCCACTGCCCTGCTCCGCCCCCGAACGTCTGATTTTGCTTTAATGGGGCGGCGCCTCTTGGTGGGCCCAGGATTGGAAGTACAGAGGTGAGAGGTCGTGCCTCCCAGACCTTCCGGGCTGCTGGGCAATTTGCACAAGTGCACGTACCGTCCGTGCGGAACCGAAAGTGCGTGGAGCTCCAGGTAGGAGGAGGCCCGGCCGCTTTCAGTGAGGAGGGGAACAGGACGCCTTCAGGAAGCGCATTCCTTCTTGGGGTTGCCTAACGTGCAGCTGCCTCATTACAGCTCCAGAGAGTCGTGGTTCTGTCCGCTTTGTCGGCTCCCGGAGACGTTTGAGGGCTGCCGCGTAGACCAG